GATTAATTGCACTTTTAACCATGTATTTATGTAAATTGAATTTATGACAAGAGAATTGAAATTAGAGACTAAAAAGAGTGAAACTATACAAAATGATTGTAAAATGCCATGTAAATGATATATTTTCGAAACACTTTTCGACACTAATCACTATGTCATATAGTTAAATTATTATATAAGTGACACGATACATCACTTTCCGATTCAATAGTGGCATATTGTTAGCATTTTTATTTCAAAAGTAAAAATAACGTATAGAAGTATCTAATATGCATTTTATTCTATAGCAGCAAAAAAACTTTAAAAAAAATCCAAAATAAAAAACTAAAATGCTCGAGTTTCTTAAACCATCCAACTTTCTTTTCTTTTGTGCCTTCTTCTTCATAGTATATGTACGACAAATTTCGTGTATTACAGTGAAGTAATTTGCAGCATACTTTAACATGAATTTCGGGTCAAGATACTTACTTGAAGTAATAAATTTCAAAATCTTTTGTATGATTTAATCATCTTGCTTTTCAAAACTCCAAATCTACAATTTTCTTCCACTCCAATGGTCCCAATAATGATCACAATGGAAGTGGATTATTAGTCACAACCTAAGTACCAATTTTGTGAGTTTTCATAATAAAATAGTGGTTTTAGGTGCCTTTCAATTTTTATGATATTTTCCATACGAATTTTCATCATTTTATTGTCATCTTCTCCCTATCTACTAAGTGCGAGATAAAGTTATGAGAGTTACGTAAAAGCTTGGAAGTTGGTGGGAGTTGAGAGAAGTTATGAATTTGAATTCTATTCAAACCACTCTCTCCAATTCATTTTAATAACTTGCGAGTTGGGTCAACCCACATGACCTATATTTTCTAACATCTCTCACTCGCACATGATATGTTTAATCCAAACCACAAGGGATAACGAATGTCAGACGTTATATCTTTCTCAAGATCTATCTCACAAAGATTCACACGGCAAATAGATCGTGCGACCAACATTAGAGCTCACGGTACTATAAACCTGTTAGGGATGTACATATAGTAGCTCTTCTAGAGGAAATCTTGCTATACCCCAAACTTATTTTCAAACATTAATGCAAGCATTGTCAATCCCTCAAGTATTTATGGAACATACTTGTGATAACCTAAAAATAACTAACCAAGTGGGGATGAATTGGTTTTTAAAACTTTTTCAAAAATTTAATCTAAATTTAAGCAGTAAAAACTAAATAGATTAATTAAAATAATAAGCACAAATATAAAAACAATAAATAAAAAGGAGAGAGGATGTAAACGATATAATTGTAGAGGTTCGATCCAAAGTAACTATCCGACACGAGCAAAGCCTTTTCACTATATTGATTGACTTATGGTGCAATACAACCCTTTACAATATTTCGGTGACTTAAAAACAAGGAGCACCGATCCTTATACAATGTTGAGCCTTACGGGACCTACACTATTGACCCACACCGTGACTTAAGATAATGAGCACCGATCCCTATACAATATTTATTTTTAAGGGACTTCAACATGACCCACACTTTATAAAATATCTCTCTTTTAATAGATGATTGTATTAAATTAAGTACTAAGAGAGAAATGAGTAACTTTGATGAATATGATGATTTTACAAGTTTAGTTCAATCAATCAAAGTTTTAAGAAGAAGAAGAGTTTATATAATGTAAGTGCAAAAAATCTTCTTCAAAAATATATCTCTTTCAATTAATAATTTGTGATAAATCAAGTACTAAAAGAATTAGAAATTTGGATGAATATGATATTTTTTTCAAATTTGATTAAATCAATCAAAATTTTAAATATAGAAAAGTAGAACTGTTTACGCAAAATAAGTGTAAACATTTTCTTCAAAAATATATCTGTCTTTTAAAATTGATATAAGTAAATTAAGCACAAAAGAGAGGTGAAAAAATTTGATGAGAGAAACGATTCAAGAAATTTGATTCAACAATCAAAGTTTTTGTTATGAAGAAATAAATGTAAGATCAAAGATAATTTCTCAAGAAAGAATTCTTCTAGTTGTTTAATGAATGCATAGAGAAATGATATTTACAACAGTCAAAACGCAAAAAAAATTATGCCCAACCGGATGACTAAATTAGCTGATGTGCATCAGAAATCAAAAGGGTTAAAAAAATGACCGTTGGCAAACCGGACGTCCGCCTGGTCAACCGGATGTTCAGTTGACTTTAATTTTTTTTTTTTTAATAGAGATATGATTTAAGTTCAAGTATCACTTTGAAATATCAATCTTACTTTTGATCAAAAATATTTTATGCAAGTAATATGAAATTAACTCTTAGTGCATAAAATGATTTTTGAGATATTGTCATTCATTACTTAAGATCAAAATGTTATACCTTTACATATGATCTCGAAAGCCTAGTTTTTGATCTTGCTTCAAAGTTTCTTCCTGTCTAGCTCTCAAACTCTTGATCTTGATATTTCTTGACGTTTGACTTTAATGCTTGACTTCGATCTTAACTTTCTTCATGAGCCCGATTTGATAATCTTGATCTTTTAATCTCTCATCTCGAATGATTTAATTTGAATGTTTACTTTCACTTTGATCTTCATTTCGAGTCTAATTTATATGCTGATTTTGGCAATGCTTGATTGATTTTAATATTGAACTATCATCACTCAAAATCAATTGTTAGAAGCAATATTAATCTAGTTTGTTATGATCAAAATATTAAGGATAAAATCAACCATATATCAACAATTTCCCCTTTTGATTATGAGAAATAAGATGATTTGTAAGGTAAGATTGAATAATTGATATCATATTAATAAAGGAATATACATTATAAATTTTGCACGTAATCCAATATTCCCCCTATATTTTAAAAATCAATAACCATATATTCAAAGCATATAAATGATTTTCATTCTTTCCCCTTTTTTTTATATATTCCAAGTATATTATATTTTCAAATCAAAGCATCCATTATCATCTTACTTCATATTTTCCCCCTTTTAGAATAAGCAAAAAGGCATAGCATTTAAGATCAAGAGACAACCATTGCGAACAATAAAAGATTTTCCCTTTTTAATGCTTTTCAAATCTATGTTACTCAATTTCTCCGTTTAGTATAAGCAAAATGATAGCACATGTGAGAGTAGAGGATAATTATCACATTTATAGTACAATAATAATCAAAGCATGAGTAATGAATAACAAAAGTGAGATAATTTGAATAGAATTTAAATAAATTTCAATCAATCGTGCTCATAGAATCAATCATATGAGAACATTTTGTATGATTCAATTTAGCCACATACTAACAAATTCATTGATAATTCCCAAACATCTTTAAATATATGAAAATCTATCAAGTGTTAGAGGTTTAGTAAGAATATTGATTAATTGATTCTTCGTATTCACAAATTTGAATACAATATCGTCCTTTTGGGTGCTAGATGTAATATCTTAGTGCTACTAAGATAATTAAAATTCGTTTTATGGCACTAAGGTGTGATTATTGAGTTGAAATTTATCACATAATCACACACTAAACATAATGTTGAGTTTACTTGCGATTAAATAAAGAAGAGATTCGATAATACCTCGATATTTTGTTATGTTTATGGAAGTATCTTGATCATCTTTGTCCATTTTGATTGATGAGCTCATATGAGTGTTCATTTCTTGGATCTTTCTTATTTTGATCTTGAATAATCATTTGTTCAAAAGAAGTTTTCGATCCTACATAATTAGTAATACATTTCTCACGATCAAGAATGTTAGTTTTATCAAAAGTAACATGCATGGATTTTTCANAGAGTATAAGTTTTACTAGTCGATGAAAAACCTAGAAAGATTTCAATAGCGGATTTTGAATTAAATTTTTCAAAATTTTCTTTTCTATTAAAAAATGAAGCATTTGCAGCCAAAAATTTGAAATAACCAATATTTGAAATTCTATTTTTCCAAAACTCATAAAGAGGTTTTGTGTTTTTTTTCGACTAATTAAAACTCTATAAACAATATAACAAATAGTATTTACGACTTCGATCCAAAAGTATTTTGACAAATTATTTTTATTTAGATATGTAGTTTGTATGACATAAACATTCTTACTTCGGTTTCCTATAAACATAACATCTTTTGATGTAATATTTTCAATAATGCACTTGGAAGAATCAAATTCGATATGATAACATTCATCACACAATTGATTAAAATTATATAGATTATGTCTAAGGTTATCTACTAAGAAGACATTTTCAATAAAGGGAGATGAATGATTACCAATAATTTCAATGTCAATGATTTTTCCTTTCGCATTATCTTCAAAAGTATCATGACCGCCATCCTTTATTTTGAAACTTGACAATAAAGCTTGATTTCCGTCATGTGCTTTGAGCATCCATTATCCAATGTCCATTTGCTTTCTATTTTCCTAGGTACCTACAAAAACAATTCAATGTTTGGCTTTTGGGACCCATACGTCCTTAGGTCCTCAATAGTTAGTGTTAGTCAATTTTTGAATCCACTTACAGTTGTCTTCAAAATGTATTTTCTTTTTGATAGAACAATAAAAATTTACAAGTCCATTTTTATTGAAAAAATTACATGTGACATTTGAAATAGGAGAAGTTGAAGCTTTAACAAAGAAATTTTTAAAAGACTTTTGTTTCAAAAATTGTTTATATCTAATTCCTCTTTTATCAAAAACACATTTTCGCTCACAAAGTATTAAATCAAAATTTTTCTTGCCTTGAGTAAATTTGTGAATAATTTGAGTTAAATCTAAAATCCTTTCTTGTAAAGAAGAATTCTTCTTAATTAAAGAATCATAATAGACTTTTCATTTTTCAAAATCATTTTGAATTTTTAGAAGTTCATTTATCTCAATTTCCAATAAATAATTTTTTTTTTTTAAGGATCGAATGATTTAAAGCAAGTTTTTAAAATTCATCAAGAATTTCATCATAAGAGGTAGATAATTCATCTTATGAACAATTTTCATTTGAATTTACCCCATCATCAATAGCCATGAAGCACTTGTTGACAATTTTCTCTTAACTTCCATCGTCTTCATGATCATCATCATCACTCTCATCCCATGTTGATTGAAAGCTTTCTTTTTGATGAATCTATTCTTCTTTTCGCCATTTTCTTCTTTCTTTTGGAATTGATAATTTTTGCAAAAACCTTTCCATTTCTTAGCNTTTTTGCGAAAACCTTTCCATTTCTTAGCAAGAAGAACTAGATCATCAAGTTCTTCATCATTCATATTTTTGCTTGAAGTGCCTTCATTAACTACTGATTTAAAAGCAATTTGGTGTGTTTCCTCTTCTTTACTTTTCATTGTTTTCTCCTTTGTCTCGGTACGATTTAGGTCATATATCATCAATGTTCTATATAACTCTTCCAATGGATATATGTTGATATTTTTGGTGTTTTCTATCAACATTCTCAATGGGCTCCATTCTTCCGAAATTGACCTAAGAACTTTACTTACAAGTTCACCATTAGTAAATTTATGATCAATGCTTTTGATGCCATTAACAATATCGGTGAAACGAATTATCATGTCAACAACATGTTCATTCTCTTTCATAAAGAAATTTTCAAAATCTTTAACTAAAAAATTTATCTTAGTTTCTTTTACTTTGTTAGTTCCAACATGAGTAATTTCTAAAACTTGCCAAATATCATAAGCAGAATCACATGTACTAATACGATTAAATTCATTTCTATCTAAAGTACAATAAAGTATATTTTTGGCTCTAACATTTAAAGACAATTTTCTTTTATCATCTTCATTATATTCCTCTCTAGATTTAGAAATTATTTGATCCGATTTATCATCCTCTTTAATAACCTTTCTAGGCACATATGAACCAAATTCAATTACTTCCCAAATATTATAATCTATTGATTGAATAAATATTGTTATTCTAGCTTTCCAATAGTTATTATGAGTACCATCAAAGAAAGGATGACAATTTGTAGAATGCCTCTCAAGATTTTGAAAAATATGATTAGCCAAATTGAGCATCTTGCTCTGATACCAATTGATAGCCTAAGAATAACTAACCAAAAGGGGGGTGAATTGGTTTTTAAAACTTTTTCAAAGAATTAATCTAAATTCAAGCAAGTAAAGGCTAAATAGATTAATTCAAATATATAAACAATAAGTAAAAATGAGAGATGATGAAAAGGATATAATTGTGGATGTTCGATCCAAAGCAATGATTTGCGTCCTCAATTACCAATCTCTCCGACACGAGCATGGCCTTTTCACTATGCTAATTGACTTATGGTGCAATCCAACCCTTTACAACGCTTCCAGTGACTTACAGACAAGGAAAATCAATCCTTATACAGTCTAAAGCTTTAAGGGACCTTAACACGACCCACATTATTGAGCTTTACGGGATCTCAATACGACCCACACGGTGACTTGTAACAAGGAGCATCGATCCTTATATAATATTGATCTTCAAGGGACTTCAACACGACCCACACTTTATCAAAGTGATTTTACAATGAAATTCCTCTCTTGATAAATAATACAAACAAATTAAGTATTAAGAGAGGCTAACACTTCAATGAATGGTAATGAATGATAGCTCAAGTGTTAGATAAAAAAAACTTTGATGAATATGATAGTCAAAAATTATATTCAATCAATTAAAGTGTTTCAATGAGAACATGAAGAAATAAATACAATGTAAGTTCAAAAATTTTCTCAAGAAATATCTCTCTTTTAATGGATGATTGCAATAAATTAAGTACTAAGAGAGAAATGTAACTCTGATGAATATGATGATTTTACAAGTTTAGTTCAATCTATCAAAGTTTTAATAGAAAGAAAAGAAGAAGAAAAGTTTTTGTAATATAAGTGCAAAAATCTTTCTCAAAAATTTATCTCTCTTTCAATGAATAATTTGTGATAAATAAAGTACAAAGAAAAATTAAAAACTTTGATGAATATGATGTTTTTCAAGTTTGATTAAATCAATCAAAGTTAATATCAAGAAGTATGAAATGTTTTTTCACACTCCATTCATATAGATAACAATATACTAACTAGTGTAGGAATACAATTGATTACTTGACCTAGACATCCAAATTCACTCACACATTTTTTTTGTTAATAAAATAAAAACATCACCAAAAGTATATCCGAAACAAAAGATCATAAAACCATAGTTCGACATATTTATCCTGAGTTTGTAAAAGTATTTACATGCCATTTTAAAAGTCATACAGGAACCTCAAAATGTAATACAGCTGGAGTCCACAAAATAACCCTACAGGTTGTCATCCATGTATATCAAACTTCGGAATCCCATAAGTGCTCCACAACCAGTCATGTCTCCTAGGAAGTTTCACGCTCACGTACAATGCAAGAACTACATTAGTCAATGCTAAGTAAGCAAAAATCATGCAGGTCATGAGTATGAGTGATAATAGTATATGACACCATGCTATTTACTTTAAACATCATGCTAAAGATGTATCATACTTAGATATTCATCAAAGTCGACTCGAAATAATTTCATTTGAAAGCTTTCATTGGGCCCTTAACCTACGTACTATGCACCGGAAAGAGCTTTGCACAATATCAATATCAATAATCAATAATCAAAATGGTCAATATGACATCGACACCAGCGAGTGGACCATCTTCTTGTGACCACTAGAGGCCCATCTGCTAACTGTCTCTATAATCACCAAAGAAGTATCCCACTCAGCAGAGCAAATAATCAGAGTATCAAAAAGGCACAGTCGAGTGGTCCACCCTCCTGTGATCACCAATGGCCCATCCCTTATTTACCTTTGTAATCAACCAGGAAGTATCACCCGTGGTGGCAAAACATATCACATAAGCATGCCTCAAGTTTGCGTGCTAGATTTTCAACCATGGACGTATGTTTTGCATGTACATGAAAATGCTCATGAGTAACATACTCAATGATCATAACCATCATATGATACACCATGAGGTCCTTATCAGAGTTATGTAAATATTCCAACACTAATGTATCACAAACATTATGTTCTTAAAGTCGGAGAATCACTTGTATTACCATATAATATTAAACACAATCCTCAATACACAGTCCCGTGCTACGCCCGTTCATGCTAAAATAATTTAGATGACATTAACAATTCAAGTTACCAATTGTATTGCAAACTGTCCCATCAATCACACTATTTCTCGAGTCTAATTGTGAACGTCAATGTCATCCAATTGTTGTTAACAATCTAGCACTCCTTAGAATGTATTTTCCATGCCTAAGAGATACTCAATTGACATGTAAAGGTTGAATCTAAATTAAATACACAAATGGACAGAATGTGTTTTTAGGTTTCCATTGATGTCCAAGTATTTTTCTAATCATTTTTCACATCCTTAACTATATCTAATGATTCCCAAAATGTTACCACACTTCTATAACGCATATGTAAAGGTAATCAAGCCATAAATTTATCACAAGTGAAGGGTTTACAGCTTCGGAGACATTCCTTTTTACATACACCAAACTCGTCATTGTGCTTCAGAAATCAGGATGTCCGCTTAGTCAACCGAACGTTCAATTGACTTTGAGTTTTTTTAGAGATATGATCTAAGTTCAAGTACACTTTGAAAAATCAATCTTAGTTTTGATCAAAAATATTTTATGCAAGTAATATGAAATTAAGTCTTCGTGCACAAAATGATTTTTGACCTATTGTCATTCATTACTAAAGATCAAAGTGTTATACCTTTACATATGATCTTGAAAGCCTATTATTTGATCTTGCTTCAAAGTTTCTTCTTCTCTAGCTTTTGAACTTTTGATCTTGATCTTTCTTGACATTTGACTTTAATGTTTGACTTCGATCTTAACTTTCTTCACTAGCCCGATTTGGTAGTCTTGATTTTGATCTTTTAAGCTTTCGTCTCGAATGATTTGACTTCAATGCTTAACTTCCAATTTGATCTTCATTTCGAGTTCGATTTATATGTTGATTTTGGCAATGCTTGATTGATTTTAATATTGAACTATCATCATTCGAAATCAATTGTTAAAAACAATATTAATCTTGTTTGTTATGATCAAAACATTAAGGATGAAATCAACCATATGTCAACAACTTGAACCCCACATCTTATCATTATATTCACAATTGTATCCAATACCCTAAATGGTTAAACACAATTATCCAACCAGTGAATAAAATATAAATGCTGGTCAAAATAGTATTCATTTCCTACTTTTTAAATCAGTTGCTTTCATAGACATGTCTCATCAAACCGAATCAATCATAGTTATTGGCAACATGCTAGCAACACTGAAATAAAATCTCAAAAAATAGTTAAAAGTTATAAGGGTATATATGAGGTTATATAAATCTCAATGTCTCACACAATGAGGAAATAGAGATCCATTCACTCATTTACCCAATATTGGTTGTAAAAGCACATGTGGTATAAAACACGCGTAATGATGTTTTCTCTCATTCTTAGGGCGTATGTCATATCTTTTATAAACAAATAACACCATATAGATTCTAATTCAGGTATTCCTCAATACTTAACTTAAGTTCTCCATATGTTCATTCCTCCAGACAATCTCAAGTCGAGAACTTGATCAGCTGCTAAACAGGTTTAATGGATTAGCAAAAGCCATTTCAATTACTTGTTGCAATCTCATTTTGATATCTCATCAAGATGACTAGATCATATACATAAAATGATCATTATGTCTCATCTCAGCACACTCCAAAATGTCTAAAGTGAGTGCTCATGTGAGTGAGCCAATCTCTACCTGTTTGACATACTTTATATGTGCATGCAAACTATTATCTCATAATCCCAACAATAGATTACACATGAACTCAAAATTGTTCATCTATAGGCATATAAATCATGAGTTTTCTCATACACCAAGTATCATATTTTATGTAATTTTAGAGGTATATCTCTAAACATTTTTAGAGTATGATGATTACAGACCATCATTTACGTAGATATATTGCAAANAAATATCTTTAGAGTATGATGATTATAGACCATCATTTACGTAGATATATTGCAAAAACACTTTCTTTGCTAATGTATCTCACAGAAACACTATTGAGTGTTTGGTTCCATCATGATATTTGAGATCCTCAACACATAAGATAATTGCATAATTATCATGGATCTCATATTCAAAATTAGTATCATTAGATGTCCAATACATCCATACCAAACAATTTCTTCAATTGTCAAGATAGATACAACAACATATACTTCTTGCAAATGTATATAGCAAGATTACATAAGTCTAATAACTATTTGTGCTCGACTAACTCTAATATTTAGTCGGCATTTGTATATATAATCAAATCACATGTTATTCCTTCGACAACGAATAGAATAACTGAAGCAACATTTTTCAGGGGTGACAATATCCTTTCTAAGGACAACATTGATACTTACTGACTAGATTCATGGCATGACAAATATTAAGGCAAGTATACAACATATCATACTTCTAATTCTTAATCGCACTAGATATGGTTCTCTAGGTATTTTTTTGTGCACTTATGGAG